AGGTAGGACATGTGCTGGCTAGTCTTCCCCAGTCCCCACCAGCCCCTATTACCCCCAGTCATTGCTCCCAATTGGCCAAGTGCATGGCCATTTATTGTCTCATTTGCCCTACTGTTTTCCTCAGAATAAGGATGATAATGATCATGATGATGATAGTACAATAGTTAATGCTTAAGAAGACTTTTATGTATCAGGCACTATTCTAGCTTCTAATATAAACATACTATATATATATATATATATATAAATTCACATATATATATACATAAATGTATATATTTGCATATAAATTCAATGAATCCTCACAACAGTTTTATGCCTATTTTGTAGATGAGAAAATTGGGGCACAGAAAGATTACATTATTTCCCCAAAGTCACACATCTAGTAAGAGATGAGGTCAAAATCTGAACCCAGGCAATCTGGCCCTTATGTCACACTTAATCTCTATGCTTTACCCAAGTCTCTAGAAAAAGTGGGAAATGAAAGACCAAGAGAGAAACTTGATTTTTCTTACACTACCTCATGTCACTCATCTGGTACCTGACCCCTGTAGGTACGTGAGTTTGGAACACTTCCCTTCCCCCCCCATCCACATTCTCATTTCTCCTCACCCACATGACAGCAACAGCCTCGTAATCTCCCTGCTTCCTGTCTTGCCCTCACTTCCCCATGGATTTTTCTCCATGTTGAGCCAGGAGGAACTTTCTGAATTAAAAATCTCATATAGGAGCACCAGGGTGGCTCAGTCAATTAAGCATCTGACTCTTGATTTCGGCTCAGGTCATGATCTCAGGGTTGTGAGATCGAGCCCCGCATTGGGCTGTGCACTGGGCATAGAGCCTGCTTAAGATTCTCTCTCTCCCTCTCCTTCTTCCCTTCCCCTCATCTCTTAAAAAAAGGAGTGGGGGGCACCTGGGTGGCTCAATTGGTTAAGCATCCGACTCTTGATTTCAGCTCAGGTCATGATCTCAGGTTCGTGAGATGGAGCCCCTTGTTGGGCTCCGTGCTCAGCAGGGAGTCTGCTTGGGATTCTGTCTCTCCATCTCCTTCTGGCCCTCCCCCCCCAAATAAATAAATACATAAGTATATAAATACATACAATCTTTTTTAAAAATCTGATATAGTGCTCCCCAGCTTAACATCTTTCAAGATTCCCCTTTGCCTCTAAGACGTTGCATCTGATCTTGTCCCAGGCTGTTATAATAGGCTCAGCTCTTACCATTTCAAACCTTACATCAGGCACTCCAACCTCACCTCACCAAAATGCTTTCCTCTTCTTAAACAACGCACATTCTTTCATGTCATCCTGTTTGCAATGCCCTTTCACCTGTGACCCTTTAGTTTGGTGGACTCCTACTCAACCTTAAAGACCCAGCTCAAATATTCCCTCCACTGTGAAGTCTTCCATGACGCTCCTGGGTTCCCTCCTCTCAATTCTCTTAGGACTTTGTATTTGCTTTTATTGAGCATGCAAATTTTAATTCACAACTGTATCTCACTGTATCAAGTAGGAAGTCCTTTGGGCTGGATACAAAAATCTGAAAATTGGTGGCTTAAAACAAATAAAAGTTTATTTTTCTTACAGATTAAAGAAGGCCAGTTCATGGCTGGTATGGCTACCAAAGGTCATCAGGAACCCTGCTTCCTTCTGTCTTTCTTCGCCACCATGCTCAGCATCATTTTATGATCAAAATGGCTGGGATGGCTGCATGCTAGGCTGGAAGCAGAAGGAAGTAGGTGACGGAGAAAAGTGCTCACTCCCCGCTGAATGGAAGCAGGCTTCTCAGAAGCCCCATAAAAACATTTCTACTAAACTCTCATTGTCCAGAATTTCATCCCAGGGGCACATCTAGCTGCAAAGATGTTGGACAACTGGTCTAGTAAATGCTTACCCTCACACACACACAAAAGAACACACACACACACAGATGCACACACATACACACACACACTTGTGCACATATTTCTATTACTAAGGAAGACAGGGGAGAGGAACATGAGCTCACTGCTGGTGTGGAACAATGGCGTCTTATTCACCCTCAGCCCTGCACGCAGTGGGTGCGCAACAATGACTGGGAGAAGCATTTCCACCAGAGACCCACGTTCCAGAGAGAAAGTCTTCCTACATCCAACTCTTCATCCTTCCCCTCTACTTATACCTTAACCTCCCTCCCATTTGTCATAGCCTTGACAAAAGTAGATTAATTTCCCAGACTTTCACTGCCTTCTAAAACCTCCTCAAATTTATTCTGAATTCATGAATCCTATTCTGAGAGACACACCATTTGACCAAGGTCTAATTTCCAGGCTGGCTGAATAATGAAGTCTTTGTGGAGGCAAATCACTGGGGACAGCAGGTTATGGCCTCTCTGTGGACTGAGCCCCTCCCCAAATCAATGGCAAGGGGATTCACAAGAAACCAAAGCCCAGGCCGTTCTTCCTGCCAGTCTTGAAGCTCCCAGTCTTGGAACTGTTAGAGGAGAAACTCATTTCAATAGCAACTCAGAAAGATGGATCCTATGGTGGCTAACGTTCCCTCCACAACACAACCCCATACAACAAAAAGACCTCTGTTTTCCCTCAAAGAGGAAGAAACGAGTTTGGTCACTCAAGAGTGAGATTTGTGGACAGGCTGTGGATGGGAGATGGAGGAGGGAAGTCAGAATTTTTTCCTTCAGTGTATGATCTGGCATTTGAAAACACAGGATGCCACTGTCTGTAAACAATGGATAATGTCATCCCCCTAGCTCTGGGAACTGAGGACCAAGCAGGTTCCTCTGAGTGTGGGCCTCCATTACAGGGCCCTATTCCTCACGGAAACCCAATTTTATGACATCTGCACCCCTTGTAAACAAATGTCTGCTCCCAGGTAGCCTTGAGGAGTAGATGTAGACCTCTGGAGTCCCCAGGCTTTATTTGAGTTCATAGGTATCCAACCTCAGCTACATAATGGATGGAGCTTGATATTGCTGGACACCATATTATTATGGTGTTATTGGCAAACAGGAAAAAAAAAATCTTTGGTGCATTAAGTGAGTGTGGAGCCTTCCTCATGATTCTCTAGGAGAGCTGCCCAACGTGCCAGGTCACCAGGGTCATTTGCTGGTATCCACCCATATGGGTGGTTTGCATATGGGTGGGGGAAGGAGTGGGGGAGCAGTCAGATGTTGCTCCTTGGTTCCCAGGAGATGGGAAGAAAGTGGAGGAACCAGCCACAGCCCCTTTACTAATAAGCTTCTAGACACTCCGCAAGGATTCTGGGATGTACTACAGTGGGGGAGGCGGGCATGATGAGACAACAATGAAGATCGGATTCAGGTCAACTGGAATCATGCCCACAAATTACCAGGAAGATACATTACTTGGGAATGAGGAAGGTGGAGTGGAAAATGGCTGAATGTTGGTGTTCATCACAGCCGAGATGGTTCCAAGATCATTAAGGGGGAACACCCTTGCCCTAGCACACAGTGACTGCATTCATAAACAAGGCTGGATGCAAATGGCAGTGGGAAGCCCTGGGCTTCACCCCTGCAGGTATGGCTTTTAAGACCTGCACCTGTGTTGACGACAGGCCCCTACGAAAGGGTGCAAAGCCCCACTGGCACTGTCCTCCTTCACTGATAGCCCAAATCTAGCTCAAGTTATCCCAAATCCTTCCCTCTTTTTGTTTTCTCCTTAGCCATTCACTTATGTATTCAGCAAATGTTTACTGGGACTGCTCTATGACAAGCACAGTGCCAAGTACTTGCAAATCTGTATCCACATAAAACATGTAGGACTTCCACGGGCCCACTTTCCTTGAAGCATACAGCTTACTCTAAGTATATTTCATTTTCCAACTTTCGAGTCAGTGTATTAGCTTCCTGGGGCTGCCATAATGAAGTTCCAGGAACTGGGAGGCTGAAAACAACAGGGATTGATTGTCTCACACAGTTTTTGAGGCTGGAATCCAAAATCAAGGTGTTGCAGGGCTGTGCTTCCTCTGGAGCCTGGACTGGGGAATCCTTCCTTGCCTCTTCTAGCTTCTGGTAGTAACTGGCAACCCTCAGCACTTGGCTCTAGATGCATCGTCAATCCATCTGCCTCTGTCATCACAGGTCATCCTCTCCCTGTCTGTCCCCTCGTGTTACAAGGACACCAGTCGTATTGGATTAAGGCCCCACTCCACAGCTATATGACCTCCTCTTAACTTAATAACCACATCTGCAATGTCTCCATTTCCAAACAAGAATGTGAATAATTCACGTTTTGAAATAGTGGGGGATTAGGACATCCACATATCTTTCGGGAAGACATACTCCGACCCGTAACAGTCAGGCACAAAGATGTATTTCTGCACTATGTAAAAAGCAACAACATTAAGTATGCAAGGAGAAGTCATCCAGTGCAAGGAGGAGTGGTGAGAGTGCTGGGGGGCAGGGGGCTGGAGCATGCGCGCCTGCCCAAAGGCCACCATCTGCGTGCAGCAAGAATGAGCCCCACCTCAGAGTCTTTTCCGGGAAAGCAGAAGGTCTGGATTTTTACAGGAAACCTTCCAGTTTTAAAAGGTTAGGATCTACGTCAAATCAAACAAAATATGTGTGAACTAGATTCAGCCTGTGGATCACCAGGTTAGAACTTCAGGTCCATGGGATGAGGAAGGGTTTCCCGAACAAGATGATTTTTTCTCAGAATTGGAAACTGTCCTCTCCGGCTACACCAGAGTGTAAGGTCGGGGAGGGAAGTGAGATGAGACAGGAGAGAAAATAAGCAGCCAGATCCTGCAAAGCCTCAGATGCCACATGGAGGAATGTAAGTGTTCTCCAAAGGGAAAATGACAAGTCATTGGTTTTAAGCAGGTCGGTGACGTCTAGTGTACAACCTGCCCAACAGCTACGGGCTGCCTACACCCTGATCTATCCCTCTCCAGCTCACCACACACAGAAGCAGAGCGGATATCAGCCCCGCCTGCCCTCTAGACAATGACCTCTCATGTTCCCATCAGATTTGCAGAAGCTGCTGGAGATGGTTCGGGAAGATGCCCGAAGGACAGTCACGTTGGAAAATGGGATGCAAAGAAAAGCACCCAGGTACGTTCTCTTGACCCCCAGGGCAGATAAAGGATGTCAGAGTAATAGTGATAACATTAGCCATAGCAGTTCCAAGTTATTGAGCATTTTCTCTGTGCACTGAGCCATGTACTTTGTTCATGTGTATCACCTCCCTGGGTTCTTTCAACAACCCTCTGAGGAAGATACCATTATCTTTATTTTACAAATGAGAAAATGAGGCTCAGAGAGGCTAAGTAATTTGTTCAAGGTCATCCAGCTAATGAACGGTAAAGGCACAACTTGAACGCAGATCCCTCTAATTCCAAAAGGCATCCTCTTAACCACTATGCTGCACTGCTTCCCAGGAATTGTAAGGTTATTTGTCTGCTCTTTTACTGAATAGTTATGAATATGTATGTCCTAGGTGCTAATTATTGCAGGAAGCATTATAAAAGGAAAGCTCAGACCTAAAAGGCTGAATAATAGGGGAATCTCATCTAGTCTGGGATGGGGATGGGAATCAGAGAAGTTTCCTCCAAGGAAGAGACTATAAGAGATTGTGGGTGAGGCGAAAAAAAGAGCTCCCCAGCCAACACTAGGGACAGGTGAACATTTCAGGCAGCGTCTGTGCAAACATGCTCAGAGCGGACCACGGCACCTTCAAGGAGCCAAAATGCAGCCAGAATGGGATGAAGAGAGGCATACGTCTGTCCGGGGACCTTGGAGGCCACCTCAAGAATTCTGGTTTCCTTCCTAAGAACAATAAAGATGCTCAGAAGTGTCAAGCCAGCGACCAAGGTGATCAGCTCATGGCGTCAGACTTGAACCTGAAAGTGTCCTCCTTCGGGCGGGAAGCCTTGTCCACAGGACTTCTGACCTCGAACAGCCTCAGAGACCACACAGGCTCTATAGAGCTGGAGTTTCCTTCCCAAGTACAGATCCCTCCGAGTAAGCAAATTACTTCGTGAAAATAAATGATGCACTGGAAGAGGTTCTTCATTGCTTTCAGCCTACTGGGATGCCGGCTCTGACTTATTGGTTATTGTTATTGCCATAATTACAGTTCACCAAGCCCCTGCACATGCATCACATCCGCCGCTGCTTGCTAATGACAAATTTGTTCTGCTGCTGCCTTGACTTGCATCAGGGGCTCGGAGGGTGGCACGTGGAGGCATCCCGAGACAGTGTTGGCCCTCCAGGCCCTGGGTGCTCTTCCTGGTTTACCAGCGTCGGAGACCGATGCTAAGGATGAAGCATCAGCTCCATGAGTCTCCCTCCTTTGTAAGAACCCATGGCACGAGCACCAGCGTTGGAGTCAGACTGACACACATCCGAAAGCTAGAAGAGGCCGACTTAGCCTTTCTCTAAACCTCCGTTTTCTCGTCTATAAAATGAGATTGTGCAGCCTCAAAGCACTGGCCTTGGAACCAAGTAGGCGAGGGTGGATGGACCTCCACCCCCGTCATTCAACTGCTGTGTGATGTCGAGCAAGTTGCCTCACCTCTCTGAGCCTGATTCCAATTCTGTAAAATGAGGCTTATTAGCAATAATATTATCTCCGTAAAGCATTATTACTGTTGTGGGAACAATACCTATTTCAATGAGTCATTTTAAGAATTTAGGTGAAATAATGCATTTAACATATTAGCATGGACCTAACGTATTACAAGCACCCGATACATGGCGGTGGTGGTACTCATATTTCACACATAGCATTGCACCCAATCTTCACAGCACGTTGCTGACGCAGGTTTATTAACAACTACCCGATGCCAACGCCCCACCACATGGATGGAGAAGGGCAATGAGTGACTTGCAGAAGGTCCTCAAAAGACAAAACCCCACGAGAACACAAAACTCATCGCGTGGCCTCTGCATTCACTTCAGTGATACAAAAACCATGGTGACAGAGCAAGAACCTGTGGAAATTTCCCATCCTCCTCAATTTCTCTGGGAGAAAAATCTCCCTAATCTCTCCCCGAGGCAGCAGATATTGGAGGCTTCTCCGTAGAGCGGCCGACAGACAGTGAGGAAAAGCGGCACATTTTCTTTTGCCCTCCTCACTTTAGAATCTGGATTCCTTTTTCAATTTAGGCCCCACATCTGTTCCCCTCGGGGCTGACTTAGAAATCTGGGGTTTTTCAGAACCCCTAGAAATCAACTGGAGCAGCCCCAGCCTCAAGGCCAGACTGCCCTCCGGTCGTCTTAGTCTCTTCGGGCTGCTGTAACAAAAATACCCCGGACTGGGTGGTTTATAGACAACAGATACTTATCTCTCACTGTTCTGGAGGCTGGGAAGTCCTAAATCAAGGTTCCAGCAGATTCGGTGTCTGGAGAGGGCCGTCCCCATAGATGATTGTCTTCTCACTATAACATTACATGGAGGAAGGGAGCTCCCTAGAGTTTCTTTTATAAAGGCACTAATCCCAATGATGAGGGTTCTGACCTCATGAGCTGATCACCTCCCAAAGGCCGCCACCATCTAATACCCTCACCTTGGGGAGTAGGATTTCAACATATGAATTGTGGGGGCGTGAGGGGGGGCGCAAACATTCAGACCATAACATCACCTAGGAAGATGACCTTTTCTTAAAATCTTCTACCAGTATTTTCTAAATGTCTCTGAGGATCAGAATTAGCTGGGATGCTTGTTAGAAATACAAATTTGTAGTCTTCATCCCAGACCCACTGAATCAGAACCTCCAGAGGAAACTGTATTTTTTAACAAGCACTTCAAGTGGGCACAATTTCACAGGGTGCTGAGAAATTCTAAGGTCTCAAAATAGGCTCTCTTGCACACCTGTATCAGGGGTGTGTGTGTGTGTGTGTGTGTGTGTGTGGTTTTAAATGCAGCTTCTGGGGCCTCACTCCAGGCCTGATGTATCTAAATCCCTGGGAGGAATCTGTATTAGTAGCAATCTCTCTCCAGGTGATTCCTGTGCCCAGTAAAGTCTAAAGATCCCAGCTCTAGAAAGAGAATTCTCCACCCTCCCACAGATACTTCCTGCCTCAGGGGCACCGTATGTTCTGTGCCTTATTAAGAGACTCATCTTGCTTTGCAGTATCTTGTCAGTGCTCAGACAAAACAAGAGTGATTCTGCCTATAAAGACATGCAGACCACCCGCAAATCAAGGTAGGATGGCACCCCGCAGTTACAGGGAGATGCAGAGATGTCCCTCAGCAGCCCGTGGGAAGTGGGGCAGGGAGGGGGGACTTTTTCCTTCTTCACTAGAAATAAGCCCCTTAATTTCTAGGGCTGGGGGGTGAGTATCTAGGTGTCTCTCCCCCCACTCAAACGGTATAAAGTTAAAATCCTCCAGTCATGGAGAGATATGAAGCAGGGAGGGTATGGAGTCCCCTACACGACTGCCCTTTCCCTCTTTACTTGGGTGGCCTTTAATGAGCAAAAGGAGGTCCATCCACATTTCATTTACTCATCTTGACTATACTCATCAGTACCCCCCTGTGCCAGGAACTGTGCTAGGTTTGGAGGGATTCAACAGCAAATAGGACAGATGTAGTCCGCCCTCAGAGATACCACTATCTGGACTGGGTGGGGTCATAGCTTTTTTTTTTTTTAAAGATTTTATTTATTTATTTGACAGAGAGAGAGACAGCGAGAGAGGGAACACAAGCAAGGGGAGTGTGAGAGGCAGAAGCAGGCTCCCCACAGAGCAGGGAACTGGATGCGGGGCTCGATCCCAGGACCCTGGGATCATGACCTGAGCCGAAGGCAGCCGCTTAACGACTGAGCCACCCAGGCGCCCCGGGGTCATAGCTTTTTTGTGTGCTATGGGCCCTTTCAGAAAAATGCTTTTAAATGCATACTGTAAATCACAAAGGTTTGCAACGAAATCTAGAGTACTATAGATTATGATATTACAACCAAATTTGCGATATAGTCATCTATGGGCTTCTTTCACAATGAGCTATATAACAAGACTTAGCAGCAGATCTAATAACTACCGTAATTTTAGATTAGTATTTTTTTTTAAAGATTTTATTTATTTATTTGAGAGAGAGAATGAGACAGAGAGAGAGAACGTGAGAGGGGGGAGGATCAGAGGGAGAAGCAAACTCCCTGCTGAGCAGGGAGTCCGATGCGGGACTCGATCCCGAGACTCCAGGATCATGACCTGAGCCGAAGGCAGTCGCTTAACCAACTGAGCCACCCAGGTGCCCCTTAGATTAGTATTGAGTGTAAATGATCTTTCAAAGTATCTGCCACAATTGCAACATGTTGTGCAAGTACATCCAATTTCCATTTCTGCTAAAGGTTAGTTGAAATAAAGACATAACCTTTTTTCCATCTGCATTCATGGATGCCTTGAATCCTGCCCGTTAGAGGCGCCTAGAGGTGCCTGGGTGGTCTAGAAGCACCTGGGTGGCTCAGTCGTTAAGCATCTGCCTTCTGCTCAGGTCATGATCCCAGGGTCCTGGAATCGAGCCCTGCAACAGGCTCCCTGCTCCGCGGGAAGCCTGCTTCTCCCTCTTCCCACTCCCCCTGCTTGTGTTCCCTCTCTCACTGTGTCTCTCTGTCAAATAAATAAATAAAATCTAAAAAAAAAAAAAAAAAGAATCACTGGTCTAATGTGAGAGCCATGAATTTATTAAATAATCCCACAGAGTGAGCCATATAATCATGACTATGGAAAGTGTACTGAAGGAAAAGTAAGGAGGACTGGGTGAAAGGTGAGCACTAGGGGCCTAAGACTGAGTTTGACATTTAAGCTGAGACCTGAAGAAAAGAAGATTTAGCTAGCCTATGGTGGGGATAGGTGGGGATAGGTGGGAATAGCGTTCCAAGCAAAAGGAACAGCCCATGCAAAGGGCCTGAGACAGGAGGAAGCTTTGAGGCACTGAGCAGAAATCAGTATGGCTGAAACTCAGGGAGCGCCAAGGAAAAGGAAGACAGAAGTGGGCAAAGGGTCCTTTGTTGTTTATTTCTGTTTGTTCTTTTATCACAGCTAATACCACTACTTCCCTCATCCCCCACCTCCTCCCTGAGTCACACTGTCAGTGCTAGAAAAGAAGAGAGCCGTCTACAGGAGGGAGGTCAAAGCCAACACAGTCTCCCAAAGAATTCATCTGCATGGGTTGGGGCAGCTGGTTGGAATCCAAACACAAGGACCTCTGGGTACTATTCCTGGGGCCCTACATGTCAGCGAGATGGGATAAGGGCTCCAGCCATCACCTGCCAGAGCTAAGACATCTACATCCAGTCCCCTGAGCCTCTGGGAAAAGCAGCAAAGGGTCAGGACCTTTCTTATGGAGAGGGCTCTGGGAAGTGGCCAGCCTACCGAAGGAAGTTCCAGGTGCTACAGGGCCAGTAGGGAAGGGTCAGCTGCACATCACAAGGATACGAAAAACAGGCTCATCCTCTAGAACCAGACAGGGAAGACAGTCAAGTAAGTTTTCCAAGCATTTGGTAAAAAGAGAGACAGAGCAAGAGAGAAGGTGTGAGACACTGGTGCTGAAGGACCCGGGAGAAGGCACTCGGGAGGGATGAGCATGAGCAAAGGGGCTTCACCCCCTTCTAGGAACTCCGACCATCCAAGTCACAGGAGGGAGTGGCCACTCAAGAAATTCACATCAAGCCCACACCTAGAAAGGGTTCAATGTCATGAAGAGTTGACTGATCACAGATGAGGAGATTGACGATCCAGAGCTGAGGTGCTTGCCCAAAGACTGGGAGGTGTTGGTGCCCGGGTTGGGCTCTGGAGTCAGCTCTGTCTGCCTCCAAAGTAAAGCGAAGTGAGTGGTCAGCTCAGGGTCCAGTTCAGAGAAGAGAATCCTTGAATGAAGAAGCAGTCTGGGGTTGAGAACATCAACATCATGACTAGAAGGACTTGACCATCCCTTCACTGCACTCAGCCCGGGAGGTTACATGTTAATCGGTATAGAGAGGAGAATGGAAGGGCCCCAAGTGAACTTGTCCTCCAGAGGGAAAGATCAATTTTGTACAAATGAAACTGGGATCCAGAAGATACATCATTCTGACAATACACAGAGACAGAAGGTCAAAGTCAGACTAGAAGAGTCAGAGCAGGCAGAACTTGCTGTAGACCATGAAACAGTGTTGGATTTGAGCAGGTGGAGAAGAAACAAGAAGGACCCTCCAGGCAGGGGATATGGGTAGAAGCAAGGACCAAGAGGTGGGAAAAATATACACTCAGTCCTATGACGGGTCCCTTGATTAGCGCCACCTCCCTTCCCTGAATCCTGGAGGCTAGCAGGTGTCATGGGAGCCCCGAAGACACCCTTTTTGCGAAAAGCAGGCTCCACACAACCTGAAACCATCCTTTGTGTTTCAGTGACCGATCCAGCAGTTCAAGTGGGGAAAGCCACACCCAAGTCATCCAGAAGAAGTCTAAAAGGTACGCCAGATGGGCAACAGAACATGCTGGGCAAAGGCACTGTGGCAACCACACTGTCTGTCTCCCCAGGGGTATGGAAATAACTCAGTGCATACCAGACTCCCTGAAGTCATACACACTGCTTAAAGACAAGGGATGCCCAGGGCAAGGGGCTCACAGCCAAGATGCCAATGCGGACAATGGCAATAAATTCCTCCCCTGTGCCAGACGCTGGGTGAAACATTTTATATTATCTTGCTTATTCCCCAAAACCAATCCTATGAGGCGGGAGCATTAACCCATTCTACGGAGGAGCAAACTGAGACCTGGCCAGGTGAGATGTCTTGCCTGAGGCCACACAGCTAAGAAATGGTGGTACTGGAGTCCGAATCTGAGTCTCCCAGCTCCAAATTCCATTTTCATCTCACAGTCCTTAACATTTGCCGGGCTCAAGTGACCGGATGTCTCTCTGTGGGCTTATTTAATAAAACCTGAACCACCAACCTGATGTTGTTGGGAAGATCTGTCCTTCCTACATCCAGGGGAATGCGAAGGGCAGATCCAGGTGAGGGTAGAGAATCAGGGTGTACAAAGAATCTCCAGAGCAGGGCACCTTGGGGCCCAGGGAGTCCAGCCTCATGGGTCTGATCCTGGGACTCCATCTCCTAAGCCCTTTGTATCTGTGTCGACAGCCGCACCAACCGTGACATCATCCACTGCAAGACTGGTGTGTGCAGCTCCATGAGGGCCAAGTTTTACAGCGTGGCCCAGGAGGCCGGCTTCTGTCTTCAAGACAAGATGGAAATCCTCATGAAGTAAGGGCACACAAACATCCATTCATCCAAAGGACATTCATCTAGTACCCAGTATGTGCCCACTGATGTCAGGTGCTGGGGCTTAGCAAGGAATAAGGACATATTTCCTGCCCTCGGAGAGCTTATAGTCTCCTGGAAAATATGGGCAGAAACAAATAACTGAGTTGATAAATATATAGGCACAAATTATAGTCATTGCTATACAGGAAGAGAACAGGGTGCTATTAGAGAAAGCAACCATGAGGACCTAATTTAGGTTGGGTAATCCAGGAGGACTTCTCTACGGTGACTTTAGGCTGAGCCCTGACAGATGAGGAGGAGCTGGTGATGTGGTAAGAAGGTGGAAGGACATTTCAGGCAGCAGGAAAAGGACATACAAAGCCCCCAAGGCATTAAGGGACATGGAAAATTTAAAGAGAAGGGAGAAGGAGGGGGTGAGAGCTGCATTATGCACAGCCGTGGAATGTCACACTTGAGACCTGGAACTTGGTTTTAAGAGTACTGGTGGGCTATTGGAAGATTTCCTTTCCTACTCTGACAACCCAATAACTGTCTCCCTTCCCAGGCTACCCCTTGACTGCGGTGACCATTCACCCCAATGAAATTCATCCATTCCATTACTGTGTTATATTGTGACCCTTTTGTCTCTCACCCTTTGAGCATGGACAGGTTAGCTGTTCCAACTGCTCATTGGGAGATGACTTGCCCCCACCTTCTGGGACCCATCTTATAGATAAGAAAAGTGGGCTCAGAGATGTCTCTTCTCAAAGGTAGTAAAGGTGGAATTCAAACCCAGAGAGTCACATAGGAAGAGGGAAGGAGGGGCGGGAGTTCCAGCGGAAAGTAACAGCAAAGTCTTGGGGGCCAGAAGGGGCACAGAACACCAGGAACTGCCAGTAGTCAGGTGTGGCTGGGGCTTCAGTTGCTTTCATGGTAATCAGAGAGACAGACAGAGACCAGATCATAAAAGGTCTTCCAAGCCCAGCTGTGGAGGTTGAACTTTACCTCAGAACGTTGTTCATGAGCCAAAGTATAAAATGCCAAGCTGGAAAATGCTGTAGAATAATCCACAGCCTTGGAGGGCAAGTTACTCAAGAGACTTTATTCCGAGTAAAATGGAAAGCCATTGAAAGTTGTACACAGGTGAATGACATGTTATGTTTATATTGTAAAGGCTCCTTAGAGAGCTAGAGCATATGCCCAAAATGATAAGGGGAGTGGGGAAGAGAGGAACCAACTTGAGTCAAACACCTACTGTGCATCTGGCACTAAGCTCAACACTTTACACACACCTTGTATCATTTAATCCTCACCTCCAAGAGCCAGAACCATTATTACTCTCCATTTTACAGTTAGAAAGCTGTGTCAGTACAATCAAAAGTAGTAGAGAGAGAATGAAGGCTGGTAAAAAAGTGACAGGATTTAGCAAGAAAGGCGCATTTCAGGACCTTGAAGAGAGTCGTGTCATCTTGTGGCGTGAGCCACATTGTAAAATGAAGAGCATCTGAGAGGGCTAAGGATTTCATGAAGAAAACAGTGTTTAAGTCAGATCTCACAGGACAACTAGGATGGATAAAGAAGGGGGTATGATCTTCTTCATCTTTTTCATACAATCTGTGATGCAGGCGCCAAGAAGAGAGAGGTCTCCAGAAGTTCCATTCTTTTGTCATTGTCTCGAATTTTAAGAAGGATATAGCAAAAATGAGGCATCAAGTCTCCATGGTAAAAGGAGATGCAGAAGAAATTGCAGACCACTGGTAAAGATCCTGAGAGCCAGATAAGATGGTCCTTGATGTGGGGGGAGGAAGAAGGGGCTGTTATTACACAATTACATTTGATCCCATTATCCTTCAAGACTGTTCTTGGCCACCAACAGCGCCCCCCCCATCCCAAACAGGCAGTCAGGCAAGAATCCCTCAGTTCCTGAACCACAGATAATCCAACAACTGTATGCTCCATATTTATCTTCTGTTTGATTCAGACTTGCAAATAAGGACTAATTTGCCAGCCCCTTGCAAGAGGCAGATGAGGCAAACCACCTAAAAATTTCTACAAATTGTGAGGTCTATGAGGCAATCCCTATATTCCCCCAAATAATTTGACCCCTTAAGGATATAAAACAAGGCAGGCATATCCTAGGAACACTGTGACCCAGCATGGGGATGATAAAAGAATTACAACAAAAAGCAACACGGATTGAGTGATTACTGGGTGGCAGACGTGACCCTAGGAAATTTTCCTAAATTATCAATTTTATTCCCCACAAAAATCCTGAAAGTTACATATGAATCCCCACTTTGTAAACAAGGAAACCTCAAGATTTAAACCCCTGTCTGACGCCAGTCTCTATGCTCATCTGCAATATAGAATTGGAGTCTGCCATGAACCCTATCATGGCACGGTGAGTAAATCAAGATCTAAGAGTAAGATGAGAACATCTAAAAATGTACCCAGAATCCCTTCCATGATTTTAATAATGTGGAATGGGAGTTTACAAGGAGACAGGAATAAATATATACCACAAAATATAAAATACAAAGCAGTGCACATAGCCCAAAGTTAGATGATCAATTTCTTCTTCAAATTCCTCTACAATTGATTCATCTCTATTGGGGGGGGGGATCCTTTTTTTATTTTATTATGTTATGTTAGTCACCATACAATACATCATTAGTTTTTGATGTGCTGATCCACGATCCATTGTTTTTGTATAACACCCAGTGCTCCATGCAGTACGTGTCCTTTTTTCTTTTTTAAAGAGGTTCCATCCCCTGCCTTAAACCCTGGTCATACCTGAACCACCTCCAGGTTGGAATCTACCTTATTTCTACCATCTCAAGAATGGATTACCAAACTACCCTCAGACTCTGTTGCAGCACTCAGAAAGGTTCTCAAAACCCACTGAAACACACAAAGCTGTGGCCCAAGCTTACTCACTAACAGGGACATAGAAAATACACACACAGTTTCCCCTTCCTCGTCCTCCTCCTCCATCTTGGGCATGAGAGCCCCTTGCATCCTGGCAGAGATTCCACAGGTATGTCCGCGTCCTCCCTGGCCTGATTAACTCTCAAAACAGAAGCTTCAGAATCTCAGTGCCCCTTCCTTTCTTGTGGCTTTTCACACTGTCTGCGTGATTAGAAAAACCATAAATGCTTTAAAGCATGCCCTTAATTTGTTTTTTTAATGAGATGCAAATCATGCTCCAGCTTTTACTACCCCTGAAAAAACAAATCTGCCCGATCTGTGGGCCCTTTACATTCAGGAATGGAGGCAGTTCTCCCAGATAAGGACAATGCTGCCCTGGAGACATCACATGAGTGGTAGAAAGAGAGAGTGGGGAGGGAGGACCTGAGATACCCAGACCCACCCCCCAGCAGCTTCCTAACTGGCCCTCTCTTCTTGGGATTGGGAATTAAAGGTACTTTGATCTGCTATCCAAACTCCCTGAGGATCTGAAGAATTTCCACCCCGCCAAAAAGATCCTGGCAAAACTGCAGAAGTTTGGGGAAAACCTGGACCTCAGGATCCGGCCCCATGTCCTCCTGAAGGTGCTACAGGACCTGAGGATCTGGGAGCTGTGCTCTCCGGACATTGCTGTGGCTATCGAGGTAACTACGGTGTTCTGTCCGCTCCTCACTAGGCCTCCGGTGCCCTTATATAGTCATCTCTCAAAGTCCAGGCACTGGTTAAGTACTGCAAACCCAATTAAAAAGACATAAGGTCTCTGCCTTCACGGAGCTCATCATCAAACAGGCGAGGGATTACCACGTGACCTTGGTGGTTCAACTCCCGGGGACATTATATTCTAGGTAAACGGTGCCCCCTGGGGAAACTTGGAGGCTTTAGAGACACATAAATAAATGTACAAGTGAATAAAATAACTAGCAATCATAATAAAGAGCACTCTAAATGTGGCCCGTGGACCAGCAAGCATAGACCTCACCTGGGTGTTTGTTAGAAATGCCGAATCTCAGGCTTCAAACCGTAGCTACCAACTCAGAATCTACATTTAAATGAGGTCCCAGGTGATTTTTATGCACAATAAAGTTTAAGAGCACTGATTTAAGGTATATGTAGAGGGGATCTATCTTAACTAGGGCGTCTGGGGAAGGTGACTTTTAAGCTGAAACTGAACTTGACTTATGGGAGGGACTCATTGGCAGTCAATGGGTTGAGAAGGAAGCAAGAAAGGAGGGGCTAGATTGCAAGGGGATTGGAGAGGTCAGTCTGTGCAGACTGTTGAAAGTCAGGTTAAGGATTTAGGTCTTTACCTTGAGCCTGTGGGGAAGCCACTGAATGGTTTTTAATGGTAGTTTATCATCACCACCCACTCTAGATGTTCCTAGGGCATCAAATGGTATCAACGGATGGGGGAGAGTCACTTTCTTAATTTCATCAGATGGCCTACGTACATTTTTTTTAAGTTGGCTCCATGTCCAGCGTGAAGCCCAACGCAGGACTTGAACGCACGAGCATGAGATCGAGACCCAAGCTGAGATTCAAGAGTCGGACGCTTAACCGACTGAGCCACCCAGGTGCCCCAGATGGTATATGTACATTTTAATAGGGCTTTCAATGTCTCAAGATAAAGATGGGACTCAAATGGTGGAATTCTCAGTCCTCTGGGTGTTTTCATGCCATGCTCGCGCTCCCACAGGCTGACCTGAGTGTATATATGTGGTGCAAGGTCAGGAGTAGGGGAAGGGGGATGACCCTGTGGACAAATTCACAGGTCCAGACTGCACTCGCCGCATCCTGTGAGGCTCCTTCAGGAAAGACTGGTAGACTAGTCCAAAACTCACTCAAGGGCAACTCTCCACTCCCCACTTGCCAGTTATGGGGTCCACCTTCCACCTTCCATTTACGGGGTTGTAGAAGAGGCAATCTCCAAATGGGTAAGAGGAAGGCTGTATGGAGGCTCTGAGGTGAGTTCACCATCCCACCTAGTAAAACTTAGCATGCTCCTCTCCCAGTGAGAACATCAAAGAATGCCTGATAACCAGGATGTGGGGGTCTCTTTATCTAGACCATGTACGAAACCACATTTTGTGTCTTAAAAGGCTTTTTTGGAAGTGAGCTCATAGTTATCATCAATTCTCAAAGAGATCTACAAATGAAAAAATGTTGAAGGACAAATGACATTTTAAAAAAGATATTAAGGATTAGGGCAGAAAGAAAAATGCAGACAGCTGGGTTTTTCTGCTCCCCCCAAATTTCTCTGGGTCAACAGTAACAAAAAGAGGCTTAAAATTAGTCTGCTGAACTAGGAAGCTGGAAAGGGGTTCTTTTCTTGAGAGAACAAAATCCCCATCATGATGCTCCAAGGCATTATGAACGCCTGAATGTTTAGAGGCAGCCTGTGGCCACCAGCCTCAATCACACATCTTCCAAGATCTTGGAGGTGGGGCAGCAAAGGGAGTCTAGCTTTCAGACCAAATCTGAAGTTGCTACTGTATTTGCCCTGCAGTTTGTCCGTGAACACATCATCCATATGTCTCAAGAGGATTATATCACCTGGCTGCAGAACCGGATCAATATCCCCATCCGATCCCAAAGTCTCCGGGCATAGCCTGGCCCTGGGTCAACCAGCTGTCCCAGTGGAGGAGGGCTAAACTACTGTATTCCTGCTTCCTATCTGTGTTCCTACTTCCTGCCTATCCACTAGGATATAGGAGGGTCTGACTTCTGGCAACATTCTAGAGGAAGATACTCCCAGGTGGAAACTCCCCTCAACCTCATACCCCAGCCTCAAACTCCCAGTCTCTGTTCCTCATTGGTCCAGCCTGACTCTACCCACTCCCTCTCCAGATGCCTTCCTCAAATTCTGGTTAATAAAATGGAGCTGAGTGTTTGATGTCTGGCTGGGAAAGAGTTGGAACTGTGGAATTTGGGTATGGTATTCAGATCCTAATAGTAACCACGGTACTATTTATTAAGCTTTTGTTATGCAATAGGCCCAGTGCTGGGTGAAATTATATTGCCTGCTAATATCATTTAATCTCACAATAACTTGGTTAATTAAGTAGGGAATGATGATACGGCCCCCATTTCACACCAATGGAGCTATAGCATATTTCTAAACATTATGTATAGGCCATGGATGGATAGCTGGGTAGGTGCGTAGATGAATGGATGGGTGGATGGATAGATGGATGGATGGATGAGGCATTCCCAAATAAGGCAAACGGTATGCAAGAGAATTTCAGCCTTAACAGTGCTCATATATTTTCTGGTGGTCTTGGTTGCACAAGGAGGCTTAACTTCCTATCATCTCAAAATGTGTATGGACTCATTGCCATTTTACCTCTTTTCTCATTTTAGTCTTATGCTTACCTACATGCTCACCAAGGTATAAAACAGGTAGTCATTTTAACTCTCGTTGATGGCCCAGCTGAATTAATGATTAAACAAATGGACTTGATTTGCTCCTATTCCCAGATTATCAGAGCACTCATATAGGCTGGCGCTCCACATCTCTTCATGATAATCCAGAAGGGAGGGAGGAGAGCTGAACTGGCACTCCTTTTTAGTTGAAGCAACAGCTCACTCCTCCATTCACCTACTCAAGTCATTTACACATTCATTCAGTGAATGTTTACTGAGAGCTCACTATGCATCAACCAAGTTCTAGGTTCTGAAGATACAGCCATGACTAAAGCAGACATGGTTCCTGCTCTCTTGGAGGTTACATGGAGACAGACAAGTCAACAAAAGGCAATGGGGTGGGAAGAGGGATTGCACAGCATCACACATCTCTTCACACTGATGTCCTTTGTTTAGCATGACACCTAGACAAGCCATTTGAGGTGCAAAGGTGAGACACTGCCTACAAGAAGTCTGCAAAGTTAAGAGACCCCACACCTCTCTGTATTAAATAGGAATTTGGGTAAGGGGGAGGTGAGAATAAGGGAGGAGGGCCAAGGGAGGAAAAAAAAGAGGAAGAAGGAAAGGGGCCTGAGAAGGAAACTTGGGGGAAAACCAACCAGGGGAAAGTTCCCGAGGTGGGGCTGGGTAGGGGATCTCCAAGAACTACAAGCCAAACCAACCCCCTCCACTATATCACCTTGGATCTTTAGTAATTTCTGTCATATACTCAAGTGTCCTCTGGGGGTGATGTTTTGAGGAAACATAAGAAGAAGCTATGTTCTACATCTGGGTCGGCCTAGGGGCAAAGAAAGGGCTTAAGGGAGTCAGAACGGAACACAATAAAGAATTTAGTAGGAGCAGGAACTCCAAGACAGACTGCTATTCCATAAGTTCTCTAGATTTATAGAAATCTTTGTTTTAAGATTTATTTATTTATTTGACAGAGAGATTGAGAGCACAAGCAGGGGGAGTGGCAGGCAGAGGGAGAGGGAGAAACAGGCTCCCCGCTGAGCAGCAGAGAATCCGAAGACATGGGGCTTGATCCCAGGACCCTGGAATCATATTCTGAATCAAAGGCAGACGCTTAATCAACTGAGCCACTCAGGCGCCCCTATAGAAATCTTGAACGCACATTTGGCTTCCCACTAGACAGGATGGGACTCTGCTAAATTGATATATATCTCATACATCTCTCAAATGTCAGGTGACATTTAATTACACTAGAGAATCAGTGCAATGGTGCCAAATTAAAGCAGGTACAAGAACATCCCAGGGGACATAGGGCTGAGGAGGGGGTGGGTCTCAACTCATACTTGAGATGTCAGGAAAGGCTTGCTAGAGAGGGTGATGATAGCTGTAAGATGAGTAGGAACCAGGGAGAGAAAGGTAAGCCAGACAAGGAGGGAGGGAAGAATGTTCCAGGTACGAAGAAGAGTGTGTGCAATGGCCTAGAGGCAAAAAGAAACTTGATGTCATTCAAGGAACTAAAATAACAAGGTCTGGCTAAACTATAAGGCCAGGTTGTTAGCAGGACAGGGAAATGGAGGAGGGAGGTAGAGACCAATTTGGAGATGCTTTCTAGGCCATGTTATGAGGTTAAGACCAACTTACTGGCAATATGGAGCCATGGAAGGATTCTGAGCAGGAGCTTAATCAGACTTGTGTTCTGGAAAAAAAGAAAAGGCTACTATGTAAGTGCAAGGCGGGAGGCAGGGAGCTAAGATAAGGCTGTCACAGTGATTGTGGGGAGACCAATGCCAGTGGGGACCGAAAGTCTCTTGAAAAGAATCAACAGAACTTGGTGTGGTGGGTTACAAGTGGGCAGAAGGCAGAGAGTATCAGGAACCATGTCTGATCTTCCAGCTTGGATCTCTGGGTGGAGGATGGTGCCTTTAATGTACCAGGAGGAAAGGAAGAAAAGAAAGTTCTGAATGTTGTTTTGAGCACATCGATGGGACAGTCATGTGGAAGAATCTGAAACTCAGGAGGGAGGACAGAGGTAGAAACAGGACATCCACATCGCATGGGCCATGATGGTTAAGGTAGGAAGTGGGAGGAGAGGCTGGGAGAGCGGCCTTGAGGACAGAATGACAAAAGCATCAAGCAGCCCATTCACAATCCAGCCCTAACTGAGGGACTGCTTTGTTTCAGACACACAGGAAATGCTTGACGAGAAATGGGTTCTAATCATTTCATCTTCATGATCCTACAAGGCCAGGCTCACCTGCTTTACAGACGATGAAATAGAGGCTCAAAAAAGTGTCCTGCACTCATATCCAGCTGACTCTGAACTCCCTCCCTCCCTCCACGGCTGCCCCTCTCTGACCCCAGTCCTCATTGTATGAGACTAGGAGGTCATGAAAGGTATCTTGCTTTTGGAATCACATCCAAGGAACAGCTCTAACGGCAGGGCTCCCTGGCATTGTATTTACTTACATTTGCACAGTTTGAAAATAGGATAATACTCCTGTAATAGCTTATTTGATGCTCACAGCATCCCTCTTGGGTGGACATTGTTCTAATTCACATTTTACAAGTAAGGACCGTAAGGATATCAAAACCTAAGGTCACTTCCCAACAGTCGCACAGCTGGTAAGTGGCAGAGCCACGTTCAGAACGGGTCCATCTTGGGCAGGGAGATGCTAAAATCACAAGACACTGGGCCCTCCCTCTGGCCCCTTTCTAAGCCTAGTTCTCAGAGCTGTAGCTCCATCTAGTGGTCAATATTAGCACTGCGTTCCCATCATGCCCATCAGCAGAGTAGAACCTTCTACTTTGGAAGAAGTCAAGTTTTAATAGCAGCAACAAGACCTACTCTGCTTAGACAGGAGTATTTACTCAAGATATTTTACTGCTAAGGTAGACTGGGGACTCGGAGGAAGGACTACATCACCTCCCAGCTCCCAGGCTCAAAGAAGAGCCACAGGGAGAAATAGTTGTGCTGTGAGCATCTTTCTCAGAATCACAATTAAGCACCTACTGTGTGCCAAGTCTGTGCCAGATGACCAGGATCCATGGTCCTGCTGCTCAGACCAAGCCACCTGCATGGCTGTCATGACAGTTTTTAAAACCACATGTACCCTACAGAAGCTTTCTCTGTAAAGGAGCAGAGAGTAAATATCTGTTGCATATTCTTTTTATATATGTAGCCCTTTAAAAATGTAAAAGCCATTCTTTTTTTTTTTTTAAAGATTTTATTTATTTATTTGACAGAGAGAGACACAGTGAGAGAGGGAACACAAGCAGGAGGAGTGGGAGAGGGAGAAG